AAACCCAACACCAAAGGGGGGGGCTCGGCCGAAACCAGCACCTTAAGGTGGCTCGGTGTGCCGGCCCAGATCTGTGCGCGGGCACAGTTCAGAGAGCCTATAAATAGGCCCCCTTGGTTCATTTTTCAGAGGTTGGAACTTTGAGAGCCGAAACTCTACCGAATTGAGAATTGAGCTTGGAGTTTTGAAGACTTGAGGACTTGAACATTCAGATCTGGTTCTCGGCGAGTATCCACTTCACAAAAGGCATGAGTTCGAGAGAGAGAGAGATCAGATCTGAGATCTAAACGAGATCATACTCCGGATCAAAGCTTGGCCTTTGATCCCGAGAACTAAGGGCGATTATTTCCTTGGTGAATTAATCCCCCCCCCCGGCTATTATTTCCTTCGCGAAATAATACCCGTCAAATCGTGTAGATCCAACCAGATCTAGATTGCGCGTTGGTCCACGGATTAACCCCGGCGTTGGCAAAGAACCCACACAAGCGAGCGACCGCAAAACAGGAGTTCGTGATTCGTTCGAAAGGAAAGTTGTAATCTTTTTCTTTTTCTTTGATTTCGTTGTAACCGGATCTAAAAAAGACCGGATCTTTTGTAACCAAAAAGCAATTACTTGAGATAACAATGAATTCAATGAAGGCAATTTTCACCGCGAACAGTAGTAGCCTACCATATGATGGCTCCGATAACAATCAATCATCACACTCATACGTCCCTGAATTATATGATTCCCCCAGCAGCGTCTTTCCCGTAAAAGGCATTGTTGTTTGATAATGGCTTACCAAGCGATGTGCCATTATCCAAATAGTGGTCTATCATGCGATGTGCTGCTATTTTGGTTTTTTCTTTGCCCCAAGAGAAGACAAATCAGGGTTCATCTTTGTCCCAAGAGAAGACAAATCAGTGTTCATATTTGCCCTAAGAGAAGACAAGCTTCTCCTCTTTACTCCAATAGGTATACAAGTATAAACTTTTTCCTACCTTTGACGGAAAGTTCCTGGAGGATATTACACATAATATTCTTAAGGATAACCCGACATACTCCAACGGATATAAGAGTATAAACTGTTTCCTAAACCTCCAACTGGTGTATGAGGCTAAACTATTCCCTATATTTGACAGGAAGTTCCTAGAGAATATTCTTAAAGGATAACCCAGCAACCTCCAACTGGTATACGAGGCTAAACTGATCCTTACCTTTAACAGAAAGTTCATGGAGAAAACTCCTAAGGATAACCCGGCATCCGCCAACCGGTACACGAGGTTAAACTGCATCTTTCCACCAACAGGTGCATGAGGCTAAACTGCTCCTTTTCCTCCAACCGGTGCATGAGGTGAAACTGCTTCCTATCCTCTAACTAGTGCACGAGGCTAAACTTCTCATACCCTCTGACTGGTATACGAGGTTAAACTACTCCCAACGCTCTTAATCCAAATGCCTCGAATGGCTAAAGATAGAGAAGAAATCTTAGCATCAAGCCTAAGAGAAACTTCTCGATAACTCATCATACCGAGAGGAATAGTATGGTTAGCCTGATTCAAACGGTAATCAGTAAAGGCTCATCAAATCCGTTGATAGCTGAGGGTTTGCTCAAAATCCTAAATGGCGATCATCAGCTATGAGTAAATAGGTCAACTTCACCGAACACGTTGGAAGGCTCCTCACTCCGTCTGAGCAGTTATCACTTTGCACGTTTTTATATCCAAAGTGTTCCAGACCCCATGCGACCTAATTCAGGTCTAAAAACTTTGGAGGGGATTCCGTAGGCAATAAAAATTGCTTTTAATCCCTATCAGAGAAGTTCAAAATAAGACTGCTAAAACCTCTCCGGAAATAGCAAAAAAAGGGAAAACACTAATATCTCTCAAACCGGAATGAATTTAACGAAACAGATAGGAACAAACGAAACCCTATAGGGTTGGTTTGGTCTGCTCTGTCTCATCGAGATAGTCGATTTTCATATATAATTCGTCCAATTCCGAGTTACGGTTTGAAAGTTACGACATGTTCTTTGTAGCTCGCCTGTATATTTGAAGCTCACCTTCACAAGGCAAGCTCGCCCGACAGTTGGGAGCTCTCCTGCATGCTTGAAGCTCTCCTGCATGTTTGAAGCTCGCTTGCATATGTTCGCTTGCGCAGCCTCGCCTACAGAGCTCGCCTAACAGCTTGAAGCTCGCCTGAAGGCAAGCTCGCTTGACAGCTTGAAGCTTGCCTGCATGATCCAGGCTCACCCGAAGGTAAGTTCGCCTGCACAGCCTACCTTGCAGAGCTCTCCTGACAGCTTGAAGCTTGCCTGCATGGTGCAGGCCCACCTGAAGGCAAGCTCGCCTGACAGCTTGAAGCTCCCCTGCACAGCCTTGCCAGCTCGCCTAGCCTGTCAGCCGCTCACTTGAAGCATGAGAGCAGTCAAATCCCTTGAATTAAGGGATTGGTTATCCTCATGACCGTACCCAGCATAGGAATAGTTATTTCCAACGATTTAAGGGATTTGGTCATGATTCTCCTCATGGCCATACTCAGTATGGGAATGGTCACTTCCCATGATTTAAGGGAGTGATTACACTCTCCTTCTTCTCTATAAAAAGCCTTGAGCAACCATAGAGAAAGGGTCTTAGGACCCGACCTATTAGAGAACGAATTACAGAGAACTCAAGACCATCTTGGACTCGAGATAAGCCTTGTTCTAGGCAAGCCGTCGACGAAGTATTGGTCTTTGGAGATCGGACTTCTTGTCATCCAAGAAGACTGAATTCTTGGCATCTTCGGCCTATAAGCACAAGCACATGTTTGGCCTCGGTTGATCGAACTCATCCAATCAAGCTTCTGCTGTGTACTGAAGCTTCAAGTACTTGTTTGGCCTCGGTTGATCGAACTCATCCAACCGAGCTTCTACTATGTACTGAAGCTCTAACTGCAACCTTGATCGGATCGTCCAAGGGAAGCAAACTCGGTGCGAGAACCGAGGGAGGCGTCCTATTTCTACCAAAGACCCCACGTTAAACAAGGAGGGTATTCCCTCCGCTTCTGTTATAATTTTGATTCATTAGTTTTTAATAAGCTATTCTTATCAATACAAACAAAATCCCCGTTTCGAGAAATTAATTTTTACACCTACAGTTTCTTGGGTATTGAAATTACTATTGGAGATTCATTAAAGACTATTCATGCATTGCAGCACCAATAATAAAGTTGCTTCGTAAGAGCGAGAAGTTCAATTGGATAGCAAAATGTCAGAAGACATTTGAAACTCTTAAGATTTGCTAATGATAGTATCAATATTAACTTTACCTGAGGGGAGTGGTAAATTCATAATTCTTGTTGAAGCTGCAAGAATCGGTGAAGGATGTGTATTGATGTACAACGGGAAGGTGATTGTTTATGCTTCCCGAGAACTAAGGCCATTCTCGATTTTCGAGTTAGGAATAGTGATTCATGCATTGAAGATTTGACAACACTATTCTAGGAGACAAAGTGGAACTTTTCACTGGCCATAAAAAGTCTCAAGTATATTTATACGCAGAATGAGCTTAATATGCACCAAAAGATGGTTAGAACTAATTGCGAATCAATATTGATCTTCAATATCATCTGGGTAAAGTGAATGTGGCACCCGATGCACTCAGCACAATGCCAAGCGCCATAAGGCTCATGAAATAGAAGAAGTGAATTGTAGAGAGATCAAGAATCATGATATTGTAGTTATTCCACTAGTTAGTCACGAGCAATTATTGATATAAAAGTACAACATTCATTGATTGACTGTATTAAGGAGTAAAAGATGCATGACAAGGAGCTCATTGAGATCAGAAAAAGAGTGCCTGAAGGCAAGAGAAAAGACCTCTTAATTCACAAATATGATTCTTTCAGGAAAAGCAACCTTCTATGTGTTCCAGTAGGTGAAATTCATAGAGAATTGTTCGATAAAGTGCATCATTCTATGTTTGCAGTTCATCAAGGAGGAACGAAGATGTATAAGTGAAAATGCACTTTTTGATGGGGGTTGTGTGAAAGGAAACATCACCGCATATATGTCCAAATATCTCATGTGTCAGTAAGTGAAGGCGGAGCACCAGAAGACTACCGGCCTATTGCAACCATTGCTAATACCATAGCGGAAGTGGAAACAAATTACCATGGATTTTGTGACAACATTCCTATGAGCTGGAACTAGAATAATGTGGTTTGCGCAATATATTTTGGATGATCATTGAGAGCTCATTCAAAGTGTTTAGTCTACGAGCGTTCACTTCTTAAATCCAAGCTAAACATTAGCCTGAGTAGAAATATATTTTAACCATCTATAATCACGATAAAATTTTAGCTCACCATCTTACAGTATCATTATTGCATATATAAGGAAGACACCGTGAACCCAGCTGTGTATTCACCCACATCCACCTACCCGGTTGCACTCATGGTTTCCAAGCTGGTGTAAACCCACCCGTGTATTCAACCACATCCACCTACCCACACATTGGTCGCACTCGAGGTCTCCAGGCTCTGGAAGGGTACTCGTTACGAGGGAATCCTATCTTTGATGATGTGATGGCTGATGCAGCATTCAGTTATAACACTAAACAAACCAGATAACCTATCAAAGATTGTTTTTTGACAGTTTGCCATTAGTAATCGAATGCTTTCGGGTCAAAGATTTGTTCCAATTTGCTAACAAACACAATTGTCTTCTTCACCTACCCATTCTTTGAATTTCTTACATAACTATTCTAGCTACCTGATATCGTTTTAGCCACATCATTTTCATGGAAATTTATCCAATATATAACAACTTTTTGTTTCAAAACCAAAAAAAAAAGCAAAGAATTAAAAAATAGATGGAACGTTCTATTACAAAAATTAAATAAATATAAAGGAGTAAAACAAAGAGACGAAACAATTTATCAAAAATTCTGCAAATACTTTTTATATAACAGACAACAGTTACACTTGAAGAACTTAAAACATGAAATTAAAAATTGCATAAATGATAAAAACACCCCAAAATATATTTTCTTGCAAAAAAATCAAAGTGCATCTAACCGCAGCTCCCTAGAAGCCATGACAGACTTGTATATCTCTAGAACCAACCTCTTCTCAAAATCACCCGGTTCAGGTCGGACCAGTCGAGCCTTGGGAATTCTTCGGCCCAACATACACTCGGGCCCACCAGAGCCCAACAGGCCTGGTGCCCCTTTACCCGCAATGCCCAGCATGGAGTCCACGTAAGCATCTCGGATTCGGGCGATGATCCGAAGCGGTGAGAAGACCCGAAATTTGAATCGGATTCTGAAAACAGAGCGGAGCCTGAACCGGCGGGTCGAACTGCGAGTGCCGTTGCCGAGTCTGGTCACCCTCCTGGTTTTATTACCAGTTGCGGAGTTTCTGAGTTTTTGGTACCTGCGGCTTCTCCAGTAGGATCTGATGCCCGTGCAAAATTGAATAGGAAATGATTCCATGTTAAGGCTCCCCCTCTCTCTACCTCTCTCTCTCTCTCTCTCTCTCTCAAGATGATGTATGCTCTTTCCATATCTGTTGTTAGTGCTCTTAAATAGAGTTAACATGGTAACGATTTTTAAGGAAAATTATCTTTGGGTCCTCCAATGTGAATAAAAAAGTATTCTGAGTTGTTCGGTAAAGGTCCAACTAGAAACTTGATTTTATAAAAAGAAAATCACTATTATAGTTGTAGTTATAAGAACATGAAAAATGACTTAGAGACCCAAAAACATAGGACCTTATATGAGACAGGTGAGGTGTCGGCTCCCTGTCCCATGATGCACTGTTTATAAACAGTACATCATGGGACAGGGAGCCAACACCTCATCTGTCCCATGTAGGGTCCCTGTAGCACCACCCATAAGAGCATAGACGGATGTAGTTGTATTTGTTTATTTATTTGAGCTAAACATGTTGGCCCGCTTTCTCACAAAACTGAAAGTGAGTTTAGCAACTTTACAAAACTAGTTTTAGTATACACAACCTTGTCTCAAAAGTAAATTTTTAGTTTGGCAAATTTGGACCAAGGTTAAACTAATTTTCTTTAGTTCAATTATTATCTCTTAAACCTAGTTCTCTTTTAAACCAACCCTTAGTTGGACCAACTTTGGCCTACTTAAAGAAAAACTAGTTTCCTTTTGTACTTGCCAAACACACCCTAGATTTATCCAATTGAACACATGTTCTTGTTTGAGAATGACGTTCATGTCTAAATATAAAGTGAAATTAAAATAAACAGTTGAAACTGCAATAGTTGTTCTTATTCTTCATATATTCAAATCTTCTCTAATATTCAAAAATAACGGAGAGACCATTATTACTTTATTCGTACTATTTATTTGTTTAGTGGACAATTATAATTCGTTTTGAGTGAAAAGTGAGAATGATTGAAATACATGAGTTATGATAAGAGTTTGAATATGGAAGGAATCACAATCTTTCACCAAACAATAGACGGTGGTAATTCTACTAAAAACTAGTCAGTTGTAATTAAAAATAGTTATCTATGTAGTATTTTAAGATAGGCAATGGATCCATATCCATTTTTAACGTAATAAATATTTTTTCTCTTTTAGAAAAAGAAGAAAAGGCAACTTTATGTCCTTTTGCAAACTACAATTAACATGGAAAATGTAATTTACAACGGATAAAGCAATGTTTCATGAGATTAAAATATTTATGGCTTTCGTAGGTAGAACAGACCCATTAAATTAAAACCCAAAAAGAGATCTAAAATTCAGAACGACTACAAAAGAAGGATAAGGATGAAGTTGAAGGAATCAATGAACCTGTCAACTTGGTAAGTACATAATGCCATCTAGAACGATCCAATCTTTAAATCGTTTGGTATGAAGGTCGTATACATTAGAAAATTCATCAATATCCGTTTATTTGGAGACAGTTAGAGCTGTACATATATTTGTCATATCCTTGTTTATAAGCTTTGTGTATAATATAAAAAAAAAAGAAGCAGTGTATATAATTAAGCATTGGTTATGCAGCTGGTTGTCTTCATGCCCTCGTACTTGCATGTAAAGCACAAATGAAGTACAACTATAAAGGAATACATAGATCATTATGACAGAATCTTTAGCTATTAATTCCTGAAATATTGAAATATCAAGTGATTGTTGGATTTTTTTGGTCAAAAGTGCTTTCCAAAATGAGTTTTCAAACTATATATATATATTAACTACAAGTACTTTTCATAAATGCTTAGTAGCCTAATGGAAAGTTTATGTTTTCGTGTTTCAAAAGGTCCCTTGTTCGAGTCTTGCCAACGGCAAGCCGGGAAGTGTTTTATTTGAATTAATCCTTCATAAGTTCTAGTGGGCAGTGGGCCAATGGTCCGGGGATCGGGGCTAATCGAGCTGAGGCGCTTTGTTATGCGCACTTTGCACTTTGCACGGAGGCATCGGGGCGAGGTGGCGCCACGTTGGCTGCCACGAAGGTTGCATCGCAGGCTGTGGACGAGCTACGTATTCACACGAGGGTGATCCTAGCGTTCTCGTAGTTTGACAAGGTTCGCTCGTTCGACGAAGTTCATCTTTCATACGAGGTTCACCTGTTTGACGATGTTCGTTCATTCGACGAGGTTCGCTTGTTTGACGAGGTTCGTCTGTTTGACGAGGTTCGCTCGATCGACGAGGTTCGTATGTCATACGAGGTTTGCCTGTTTGACTATGTTCGCTCGTTCGACGAGGTTCGTCTGTCATACGAGGTTCGCCTGTTTGACGACGTTCGTTTGCCAAACGAGGTTCATTTGATTTGCTGAGACGTGAACCTCGCATTTCTTAGCAACGCGTCCATTGATTGCCTCGTATTAAGCAGTTACTGCAAGCAGCAGTTACAACAGCATTAAGAGCAATTTAATGCATGGTGTTATAATCTTAATTATCATTAAGATTTGTAACGGTCATATTAATTGCTAGTGACTTTTGAGCTGGCATTAGAGACCTATAAATAGCGCCCTTGGGCAGCTCTTGGTTGCAGCTGAAAATTCTCTCGCGAGCGTGGAATACGAACGTCAGTATAGAATACAAACGTCGGAATACCCCTGCGAGCTTGGAATACGAACGTCAGATTGACGTTGTTGTTGTGCTGTTACTGCAGAAACTGTCCCCGCAGGAACCCTGAAACTGAAAGGTTTTGAACCGTAAGGTTCTGAGATCGAGAATATCTTTTTCCTTGACCGAAAGGTCTTATAGATCAAGGAGATCTTGATATTACTGGGTTGGTGTACACCAGAGTACTGTACTGTTGTTTCTAGAATCAGTTTGGCCTTGGGATCCTTGCACTGGAGTAGGCCAAATATTCCTTTAAGCATAGCGTTTCACAAACGAACAGCAGTTAACTTGAAAAAATTTAAAATAACAGCACATCATCCTTCACTGTTTAATTCCATATTTAACCTTAATTTCCAACAATCTTAAAGCAATATTTCTGATCTACTAATGGATCATGCGAGGGCTCTTGGAGTGGATTGTCTTAAATTAGAGAACTTTGATGGATCTAATTTCAACGCATGGTGTCGAAAAGTGATTTTTGGGATGCAACTCCTGAAAATCTACTATGTGGTTTCTGAGGAGAAACCTGACTTTGAAGAAGACTCAGAGTCTAAAGCCTCTTGGGATAAAGATGATTATTTCTGCAGGAGTTATCTCCTTAACTGTCTAGCTGATCATCTGGCAGATGCTTACATCAACAATCCATCTGGAAAGGAAATCTGGAAGGCTCTGGAGGAGCAATACAAGGATGAGGAGAAGCTTTCGAAGACTCACCTCATTGACAAATTTCTGGACTTCAAGTTTGAAGATGACACTGAGGTTTTGCCTCAAGTTAAACAGCTCGTAAAACTTGTTATGAAGCTAAAGGATAACAAGATCAATCTTTGTCAAACCTTCATTTCTAGTACAATTATTAAAAAGCTTCCTCCATCTTGAATGTCGTTCTCCACAGACATTTAAAGAAGGAAAAGACAGGTGACTTTGTCTGATTTGAAGAGGTTTATTCGGATCGAGGACGAGATTCGAACTCACACAAAGAATGAGCTCCTAGCTAAGCAGAAGGCGTCTGCTAACATGGTGGCTACTAACTCTGAGAAGGGTACCAATTCTTCTAAGAAAAAAGATGTTTTTTAACAAAAAGAAGAATCATAATCCGAAGAACCTGAATGTTCAGAAGAAAGATTTCAAGAAGAGCGGCAAATGCTTCAATTGTGGGAAGCAAGAACATTTTGCCAAAGACTGCAAAGCACCAAAGAAGGGAACAGTACACAATGTTAATCAACTTGACAATTGTGTGGCTATGCTCTTTCAGGTGATAACTCCCAGCAAAGTCTCTGGTTGGTGGTTAGATACAGGTACTACCTGTCATATCTGCTCCAATAGAGATTTGTTCTCTTCCTATGTTGTTGTCAAAGAGAATGTATCAATGGCTGATCTTTCTTTAGAGAAGACTCTCACATTAAAGGATGTGAAACATGTTCCCTCAATTGCCAAAAACTTAGTCTCTAGAAGCCTGCTGTGACGCTGGTATGAGGCTGGATTTCCAAGGAGGAAAGACTGTGTTATCTTTTAAGAAAATATATTTTGGCAATGCATATCGTACTAATTGCGTGTATAAGATCAGTACTATTGTACCCAACTCAGTTGTAAATAAAGTATTCTCTTCTGCTTACTCCTCTGTATTATGGCACAATAGGCTAGGACATGTGAATTATAGAAAGCTGTCTAGCATGGAGAAGTTAGGATTTCTTCCAAAATATGGGGGTAACAAACCTGATAAGTGTGAAGTATGTGCGCAAGCGAAGCTGACAAAGAAGCCATTTCCAAGTGTCACAAGGAGCACCAACCTATTAGATCTGATTCACTCAGATACTTGTGATTTCAAGAGCTTCATCACTCGAGGCGGCATGAAGCACTTTATCACTTTCATTGATGACCACTCTCGCTTCTGCCACGTCTACCTGTTGAAATCTAAAGATGAAGCATTCAGCAAGTTCGTCGAGTTTCAGACTCGAGTGGAGAAGCAGCTTGGACTGTTAGACCCTAGAGGGGGAGAGTGAAAAGGGTCTTATGCTAATCTAATTCAATTTTATGCCAATTAAAACTTATTAATAAAATATTCTTGCAAGATAGATATACAATATGTTATAAGCAAGAATGAGCAATATAACCAAAGAGCAATATCCTAACAATGAGATATATGGTGAATTATATGCAAGGATATATAAACTAATACAAGGGGAAATAAACAATCTACAAATGTGATAGATATGCCAATGCAATCACAAACAAAACGATATGATCACAGAGATCAGTCTAACCACTTGACCTACGTCTCTGCTCCTCACCTCGAGGAGATCTCCACTATCACAACCAGGTTTTCTACGTTCACCCGAATAACGTTTACACCTCACACTCGGTTTTCTAGCTAACCGAAAACTTTACAATCAACACTCTTGCAATCTCAATCTACACCCTCTCAAGTGTT